AAAAAAAAAAAAAAAAAAAAAAAAAAAAAAAGCATACACAGATATACATATAGACATACACGTTGCAATTTTGGGGTGGTAAAAAAAAAAAAAAGAACAAAGGGGTGATTTACACCATCTCGTAATAATCATGGGTCCATTAGAAAATTGAAAAGAATATCAGGAGACTTAGTAGGACAAATACAATGGGGGCGATTACCCTGAACGGAAAAAAAAAAAAAAAAAAAAGGGGAAGTGTAACGTGAGCGATGAAATAAGGAGTTTATTAACATTGTGTGAATTTCGGCTTTTAATAGGGATTTTCCGGGTTGGCATTGGTCTGGCCCCCCTGTGGTTAACTCCTGTTCGAAGCCGTGTGCTATCAGTTTGTGCCTTACGTGGAGTTGAGGAAAAACTTGATAATGTCATGCTCATCTACCACTATCCGATCACAAATTAAATTCGTGTTTCGCTTTCTCAAAGTCTACAAAAAGGGAAAGAAAAAAATAAAAAGGTGGAGGGGGTGTTTGATGCAGGGCACTTTCAATTTTTGCCATTGCTTCGGGGTGGAGTGATGACACGCTCGATGGGACTGTACTTGTTCGCCGGGCTCATCTTCGAATTCCCTGGAAAAAGTGGACAAAAAAAAAAAAAAAAAAAACATATATATATATATATATGACGAAAGGGGAAAAGGCACGGTGCCTCCAAAAAACCAGCTCCGTTCGTACGTATCGGCCAAAATTTCAATGAATTATCGTTGCCCTGCGATGGCGTCTTTGCACAGAGTTCTCCATACGCATAATGCGTGAATGCGTTGTCGAACAGGTCTTAATTTTTGAGAGACAACCACACGTAGTAATTCCAGGTATGCATAGGTGCAAGCGCGCAAACATACAACCATATGTAGAAAGTACGCAAAAGGACGTGTCTATGAAAAACTACTTACATTGGCTTAACGATATAATTTCCGATTCCGTCCAGGTGTTTCTTTTCTATGCCCACCTTGAATGTCACTATGGCTATTTCTCTGTAAAGGGGAAAGAAGGGCGGAAATGCAAAAATGAGATATGGTACAAAAAGGAGTGGAGATCTTGTGTGGCCGCAACGGTTCTACTCTTTCATATAATCATGCAACTGTTATGTTGTGATGGATTTTTTGTTCATGGGAACAAAAGTACATATGTGAATATTGCTGGTAATGGGTATCATGTAGGGGACAGACGCAGGAATGTACAAAAATGTACATAAATAATATAAAGCATATGTTGACGCGTCCTGCGAGTAGTAAAGCTAGCATCTACATAGATGCTTACTCTTTATCCCTGTACTTCTCCACTGTAGCGTTAAAAGGAATCAAGGAACTCTTGAATATCTCCAGGTCAGCGCTCTTTACGCCTTCTATTCTGGCTTTGGTGATTTTTTTATTTGGTTGACTCATATTTTCAACAAAAAAAAGAAAGAAAAAAAAAAAAACTACTAAAAATGTCTTAGAGGTGGTTAGCAAAGCAAGGTTAAACAATTTTCATTATAAAGTTATTTTTATCATCTGTTGCCTTGAGGGTTTGATGGTTTGCTTGTCCTCGCAGTCCAGGGATGTTTTTTCTAATCACACAAGAATCGCCAGTCACGAGGCATCCAAATTATGTTTTGAAAATATGCGTAAATTGTAAAAAATGAAGAAGAATGTTTTTTCTGTTGTATTTTGGGAAACCTTCTTTTTGGCATTTTATGTCATCTGCGTCATTTCGGTATTCTTTACAAAATAATGTTTGTTTATTTTTTCCTGTTTGTCATTTGTTATTTGTCATTCTGCCCTTTGCTTTTTCAGGATTGGTCATTTTTTTTTTTTTTTTTTTTTTTTTTTTTTTTTTTCGCCACATTTTAATTTTTCTATTTGTGCTTCTCAGCCGTTTTTTTTTTTCTGGGGGCCTTTTCGCTGTTCAATAATTTGATATTGTTGACAATTAAGATTTTTTATATTTATTTTTATTTTTGCGAATTTGCTTTTTTCCCTTAACCTTTCCCATTTGCGCTCATTTTGGGGACTTTACTTTTGGGGCACAGTTTTTGCCTTTTCCCTCCCTGCGGTCAGCGTCCCGGTTACTTTCACCCGAAAGCGCTTGGGGTTAGCCCCATTTTGACCCTTCTGAGCTTTGCCTCGAAATTTTAGAAAAAATGGCGTATATGCGGAGCATAAGCATAGAATATACATGAACATATTCCTGTGGGGGAGACATAAGCGTGTCATTGGGCAGGAAAGGGTTACTGGCAGTGCGTGCAAGAGGTTATAAAAAGGAACATACCCAACAAACGAATGGAGATGTGTTGAATTGTATAATGGTTTGAGGTGGTAATTCCCTGAATGAGCAAACGGAAATGCATTTCTCACATCCTACGTGATCTCCAGAACATGTATATGTAAAGTTGTTTTAAGTTCCTTCACTGATGAATTATGCAGTTGTCTGTTAGGAGTAGGATATTTTCGTCTGTTTGCTGGTGAGTGATATGTATAAGCTTTTCCCATCCTTCTCCTTGCGGATGGGATGAGATGCGGAACAGGCCAAAATGGATGATGCATCCGGCGGATGGTATCATATGGGTTAAGCGTTTGGTTTCCTGTCCAGCAGCAAAAACGTGGAGCCGCTTTGAATACCTGTGGATGGGCTGTACGAAGCCGTGTTACGTATACATTGCGAGGGGAAGCAGCACGGATGGGATGAGGACACGTGGTGCTTTACACAAGACAGTATTCCACTATGTCAGTGCATTTGACTTGTTTTGGGCAACGCGCAAGTGATTCGTTCTATGGGGGGAAAGTGTACAAATTGTAATTTTTTTGGGGAAACGTTAAATATGATGATATGGCAGCTTGGGTTGCTGACCTCTGTTAGACTGAACCAGGACGGGTAACACAGATGAGGGTGCAAAACGCCATGGCATTCGCTTTTGTACTATCATGGTAGAGGACGTTCCCTCCAAGGCATTAAAGAAGTGCGCCTTAAAGATGTACCCATTAAGGCAGTACGCATTACACAATTGTGCGTCAATGTCTGCGCTTAAATGGGGAGTGGGTCTCCATGGTGCTAATGGCGAGACCCCGTCTGGCATCACAAAACAATGAGTTTTAAGATTCGCACTTTTGGCGTCATAAAAAAATAAGTGCGGCAGTGAGATGCAAATGATAGTTAGCGGGAAAGAGAGGAGGGGTAAAAAAAAATAATCAAATGACAAAGTGGTGGACAGGCGCATTGCCCATCAGGCATGCTGCTATTATTCCACCTGGTAACAAAAATGGAGACGCGAATTTGTACACAACGGGGGTGGGTTGAACAAAGAGACGCACTGCAAAGTGCTCAGCGTGCATTGTGTAGCACTGTGTGTGAAGAGGGGATGCCAATGGGTTGGCAAAGATTGTACGCAGCACAGAATATTTTTGGCGACTGCGTGGTGTACTATGGCGGCGAGGCACACATGTACTGGTACAAATAGTGTACTACTACAAACTATGTATAGATGCGTGTCCTTACCATTCCGCAGAGGGTATAGGCTTGTTCGACGTCAGCACCAAAATGGAGGACATGTTTACGCTCACGGGCTTCTTACTCTGATCATGTGGCGATTCGTCATTTTTTAAGTGCACAATGATGGAGTGCGGAAAGTACTTCAAATATTGCTGCTTATTCTTGATGATGTACTTGTGGAAAAAAATGTAAAAATTTTTTATATGGTGGTGGACAGTATTGTTTTTTTCTTCTTCATGGTCCAAAAAATGTTTGATTAAATTATACTTGTAATTAAAAAAGGGGAATGCACACATATACTTATTAACTTTTTTAAAAAAGAAATTAAAAAAGATGAGTGATTGTATGGTGTATACAATCC